TAGAAGAAGTTGAAATCAAACTCAAGCCGAAGAGAAGAAGTCAATTCGCGCACTGACGGCGAGAAGAATCAGCCGTGAACGACTGGTAGAGATCAGCGCCCAGTGTCGAAACCAAACCACACTCCGACATGCAAATTTCTAGAGAGTAGGCAACTCGAAGTCTTTAAGTTGTATGGTAGAAGCTTGGTGCCACAGTCCACAAAATGGGTCGGGAAGTAGGAATAATTTTTATGTAACGAACATTTAGATATAAAAGGTTTTTACTCCTTTTTATCAGTAATTTTTGGCCTCGTGAGTTTTTTCTTTTACTTGTGTGTTACCACCCCGTCGAACTCAGCCTGCATACGGCCCCAATCCCTGTTTGATCCCGTCTGTCTAAGATCTAATCACAACGTGGGTAGGCAGACCGGAGATCAGTGCAGTTACCCTGGTAACCAGGTGTTGGAAGCGAGTTGGGAACGGCGAGGCTGGTAATCATCTGACCAAAGGGTTAGAACGTCACACTTGGAGCCGCGAACGAGATCGAACGACAGAGTCGACGCTGCGACCAGGGGGGGCGACGTCACAGCTGTAACAGTTCACACCATTTCCGGTTTAACTTGCTGTTCAAACATCACGACATGCTTGCTCGCAACTTGCTATTTCATATACATCTATATCGGCATTTCTCCTACCTCTCTTTCTCTACATACAACATACATACATATATATATAATGAGAAAGAAGACATATATGGACAGCTGCTCGGCTGTTAAATCCTCCAAATTCCAACTATTGCCACCTTATCTTTGCTCAGATAATACCACACACCAAACTCGAATAAATAAATAAAATATATTTATTCAAAAATACAAAACACCTCTCTACAAACTCTCTAACAAGACATATTTATCAAGGACTATCCACACACATACACACGCAATTGCGTACAAACACGCACACATAACACCCTTAGTATTATTATTAACAATTCAAACTTTGCATCATTTATTACTTTCCCTTTTACTCAACATGGAATCCCCTCAAAATATAATGTTTGATATACTAGTTCTATATAATCGAAAATGCAGTAGCCTGGCTCTCAATTTCAGTAAAGAGTGTTTTAGGTGTTGCCATAGAAGGTTATGACTACATAACCAAGAAATTCAATTTGTATTGATAAAAAATCATCACCTTTTGAGTGCTAAAGGTTAAGGTCATGAACTGCTATCTCCTCACACCCACACACACTCAAATAAATATTCTTTTGCACCTGGCTACTTATTGATCCTTACCATATTTTTATACGCATAGATACTTATCTACAGTTATTGTTTATTTTGTCATCACCATCATCATTATTATTATTACTACATCCGTTTTTTCATGTCACATTATCCAAAGTAAAAAAACACTAAAACTATTTTGCACACACACGCACACACACACACACGCACGCACACAAATTTAATCCTTGTACATTGAACAGTTCGAGATTTTTACTAAGGTCCAATAAAACTGAATCTATGAGACTTAACGCATTGTTGTCACGAACCACGTAACACTTTAATGCCATCAACTACATAAAACTTTGTCATGAACTATTTAACACTTTCCTGTCATTAGAAACGGTCACTGAAGTATAACAATCCCAAACTTTGACAAGTAAATCTTCGGATTGTGGGCGCAAAAATTACTATGCCTGATCACGTGATTATAATCAACCAATCATATCGCATTTTAAACAGTAATCGGAGCCACATTTTTTTCTGCATTAAAGAAAAGAATTCTTTCTCCCACTCCAGTCAGATTCGAGACTGATCATTGTATAACCATTCGTCTCTCCATTTCAGTTTAACTTTCGAAAATGATAGAACTGTGAAACCGGTTATGTTACTTTAAATGAATATTCTTGAAAGCTCCATTTTCATTTTCAATTTTTTTTTATATATATATATATATATATATATATATATATATATATATATATATATATATATATATATATATATGAAAATTTCTTATGAGTTAACCTGTAGAAAAGACAATATTTATAAATATAAATGACAATAGAAAAACTGTAGTTATTGCTGACACGTTTCGTCCAATGTGGACTTTCTCAAGGCAAAAACGAAATGAATTTAATTAAAGAAAGTAACTAATAATAACAAAAAATAGAATTCCTACATTCCTCCAGTTGCTAAGAACATTCTGTTTTTTGTTATTAATAGTTACTTTCTTTAATTAAATTCATTTTGTTTCGTTTGCTTTGAGAAATTCCACATTGGACGAAACGCGTCAGAAATAACTACAGTTTTCCTATTGGCATATATATATATATATATATATATATATATATATATATATATATATATATATATATACACAATTCAACATTTTCCGTCCACTGTATAAAACTTTATAAAGAAACATTCTCAATTCATTGACCGAGCAGCCAGTGCTGCTGTGGAATGATTTTTAAAATTCTTTCTGTCAAAATAATTTTTCAGGAAAATCTGTTTGTTAGGTCTTCTTACTGTTATTACAATTTCCAATGCTGGTGTAGGTTTCCTTCCTGACCTTTTGTTGGAAGTTGTGAGGAAATCCATCATCTTGACTATGTAGTTATTTAATCTTCAAGTTATACGTGCTATACATTTTTATTGTTTTGGTTGTAATTCATCTAGTGATGTGGCTTCTGTTATTTAGTGCTGTTCTCGTTTTCTTTTGTTTTTTTTCCTTTTTTTTTTTTGCTAATCACTAGCGCCAGTACTTGAAGTTTGAAGAAGAATTCGTCTCATTGACTCGAAGCTATTTTTATTACTTGGGAACAACCTCAATAGCAGAAGAACTGGATTACACAACCTGAATTTCAATTACAACTGGTTCGACTTTTACTCTGTTATATGCTGTTTAATTTTCTAAAAATAAATTAACACCATATCGCCTACATTTACCTGTGTTACCTGTGCCTAATATACCTTACAGACGGGGTGTAATGATGGGTATATTGGAATTTGTCATCATTAATATATTTATAATATTATAGCAATGTTTATGTTCACTTGCTTTCGGCTGGAACTGTAGCAGTAATCTAAAAAAGAATCGAATTCATTTGGTATCCAAATGAAAATAATAGAAAAAAAAGGTTATTTTAGTTCCTTGCTCTTTCTCTTTAGAATTCTAAAATGTAGACGTCTTTCCCTCTTTCCAACATTAGATTAAATCTTCTTTTTTTTTCTGTAAATGCAGTCGTTTTTTTTTTTCATGTCTACACATAAAAAATAGGAATTAAAGTGTCCTACAAATCATTTATCAGGAATCAAGAACGAAAAAGACCGAGACAATACGAGAGTAACGTCTTGACGGCGCCATTTTAATGAGACACGCTTTTGAATTTTTACTTCTTTTTTAACAACTTGACTAATCAAGAAATTTAATTTCATAGAAAGACTTTTTAATGAACGAACTAAACGGCGAAAAAAGGGGAGAAAATGATCGATTCGGAACCCACGAATGTTTTTGCTTGGCCAATTAAGGTTATCGTGAATAAATGTTTTACCGGTTTTCTTGATAAAACGCCATTTAACGGTTAACACTTGCCTCGAGAAATAAGCACTTAAATCAAAAGTGTGGTACAATCAAGACTAGTACAACTACTATTACTATGACTAACAGTAATACCGTTGCTTTAATTCAGGCTCATTATCGGATCTGTGGTAAAAATTCTTAAGCAACTACGTCAGAAATTACATTCCCACTAATGATTGTCTTTGCAGTCATAGGCAAACTGTACCCCCCGGAAGGCATGCAACATGGTTGGATTTCTGAATTTTCCTAATTTACACCGGTTACATAAGTTATGTAGTTACATAGTTATTTTATGTAGTTTGTTTCCATCTCACTTATTCACCCACACGTTCTCATAAGCACATACTTCTTAAGGCCTCAGTCAGTGAAGGTTGACCATGGGTAGCATTCTAGTTGTCTGCTTGGCTGGAGCATCGGCGTCTGTGACTGCCGATGCGAGAGTGACAATTTCTGTTGCAGAGGTCGCATGTGTATTCTGTCTTTGGTCTGTTGAAGCTGTCACTTTACTTCCTGTTAGCCTGGCTTTTCGTGGCGACTTGTGTTAGTTCCCCCCCCCTGACTTAAGGTGTTTGGTCAGGGTTCGTCTCCATTTGGATCGTATGACTGCCAGGCTCTCCCAGGACTCTGTGTTTATGCCCATAGCTTTTATGTTACGCCTCACGACATCCCAGTACCGCAGCTGTGGCCGCCTGGCAGGTATCCTTCCAGAAGCCAGCTCTCCATACAGGAGGTCTTTAGGAATGCGGGCGTCAAGCATGCAGTGGACGTAGCCCCACCAATGGAGTCTACGCTGTCTGAGAAGTGTGAACATGCTGAGCAGAGCTGCTCGAGACAAGCCCTCAGTGTTGTTCAACTTGTCTTGCCACGCTATTCCTAGAATGCGACGGATGCTTCTTATATGAAAGGTGTTCAGACGCATTTCTTGCCTGGCGAACGTGGTCCAATCCTTGCTGCCATATTAGCAGTGTGCTGATGACGCAGGCGTTGCATATTGCCATCTTGGTCTTTACCATATACATGACAATGATTATGTACAACGTTTCTTGAATTTTGTGACCTTTCGTTGAAAATTACGTTTTCACCATGATAAACTATTGGCCATTTTCACTAAGGAAGATCGTACGTGTAATTACACGTACTAATATTTTATCTTAAAAAAAGAAACATTCATAATATTTTTTTATGTAGAGAAGAAACATATCTTATTTCTAAAAATATTTTTGTACAGTCAAATGAATAAATTAGAATGTGTGTTAATCACACTGACCTCAATGATAATATTACAGGAATATTTCTAATTTTTACACTGATTTATGACTGATTTACTTTTTACGGTTTATCAACCTCTTGCAGTATGATTAAAACCGGAAAAGAGATAATGATGGTTTAGTGACACAAGTCTAACTAATTAACTTATAGCTTAGGGAAAA